CATCTAATGAGATGATCATATATTTTTTTTCAATGTGATAATATGGTATATCACGTTGATTGATTTGCATATATTGAAGAATCCTTGCATCCCTGAGATCAATCCCACTTGGTCATGGTGTATGATCCTTTTAATGTGTTGCTGGATTCTCTTTGCTACTATTTTATTGAGGATTTTTGCATCTATACTCATCAGCGATATTGGTCTGTAATTCTCTTTTTTTGTGATATCTTTGTCTGATTTTCATATCAGGGTTATGGTGGCCTCACAGAATGAGTCTGGGAGTGTTCCTTCCTCTGCAATTTTTTGGAAGAGTTTGAGAAGGGTAGGTTTTAGCTCTTCTCTAAATGTTTGATAGAATTCACCTGTGAAGCCGTCTGGTCCTGGACTTTTGTTTGTTGGAAGATTTTTAATCACAGTTTCAATTTCATTACTTGTGATTCATCTGTTCATATTTTCTGTTTCTTCCTGGTTCAGTCTTGGAAGGTTATACCTTTCTATGAATTTGTCCATTTCTTCCAGGTTGTCCATTTTATTGGCATAGAATTGCTTGTAGTAGTCTCTTAGGATGCTTTGTATTTCTGCGGTGTCTGTGGTAACTTCTCCTTTTTCATTTCTAATTTTATTGATTTGAGTTCTCTCCCTCTCTTTCTTGATGAGTTTGGCTAATGGTTTATCAATTTTGTTTATCTTCTCAAAGAACCAGCTTTTAGTTTTATTGATCTTTTCTATTGTTTTCTTTGTTTCTGTTTCATCCATTTCTGCTCTGATCTTGACGATTTCTTTCCTTCTGCTCACTTTGGGTTTTGTTTGTTCTTCTTTCTCTAGTTCCTTTAGGTGTGAGGTTAGATTATTTATTTGAGATTTTTCTTGTATTTTGAGGTAGGCTTGCACAGCTATAAACTTCCGTCTTAGTACTGCTTCTGCTGCATCATAGGTATAGTCGTGTTTTCATTGTCGTGTTTTCCTTGTCATTTTTCTCTAGGTAGTTTTTGAGTTCCTCATTGATTTCTTCAGTGATCTCTTGGTTATTTAGTAACGTATTGTTGAGCCTCCACGTGTTTGTGTTTTTTACGATTTTTTTCCTGGTAATTCATTTCTAATCTCATAGTGTTGTGGTCAGGAAAGATGCTTGATATGATTGCAGTTTTCTTAAATTTACTGAGGCTTGGTTTGTGACCCAAGATGTGATCTATCCTGGAGAATGTTTCGTGTGCACTTGAGAAGGAAGGGTAATTAATCTGCTGTTTCTGGATGGAATGTCCTATAAATATCAATTAAATCTCTCAGGTCTGTTGTGTCATTTGAAGCTTCTGTTCCCTTATTTATTTTCATTTTGGATCATCTGTCCTTTGGTGTAAGTGAGGTGTTAAAGTCCCCCACTATTATTGTGTTACTGTCAATTAACTCTTTTAGAGCTGTTAGCAGTTGCCTTATGTATTGAGGTGCTCCTATGTTGGGTGCATATATATTTATAATTGTTATATCTTCTTCTTGGATTGATCCCTTGATCATTATGTAGTGCCCTTCCTTGTCTCTTGTAACATTCTTTATTTTAAAGTCTATTTTATCTGATATGAGTATTGCTACTCCAGCTTTCTTTTGATTTCCATTTGCATGGAATATCTTTCTCCATCCGTTCACTTTCAGTGTGTATGTGTCCCTAGGTCTGAAGTGGGTCTCTTGTAGACGGCATATATATGGGTCATGTTTTTATATCCATTCAGCAAGCCTGCGTCCTTTGGTTGGAGCATTTAATCCTTTCACGTTTAAGGTAATTATCGATAATGTATGTTCCTATGACCATTTTCTTAATTGTTTTGGGTTTGTTTTTGTAGGTCCTTTTCTTCTCTTGTGTTTGCCACTTAGAGAAGTTCCTTTAGCGTTTGTTGTAGAGCTGGTTTGGTGGTGCTGAATTCTCTTAGCTTTTGCTTGTCTGTAAAGCTTTTGAATTCTCCATCAAATCTGAATGAGATCCTTGCTGGATAGAGTTATCTTGGTTGTAGGTTCTTCCCTTTCATCACTTTAAGTATATCATGCCACTCCCTGTGGCTTGTAGGGTTTCTGCTGAGAAATCAGCTGTTAACTTTATGGGGGTTCCCTTGTATGTTACTTGTCCTTTTTCCCTTGCTGCTTTGAAGGATTTTTCTTCTTCTTTAATTTTTGCCAATTTGATTACTATGTGTCTTGGTGTGTTTTTCCTTGGGTTTATCCTGTATGGGACTCGCTGTGCTTCCTAGACTTGGGTGGCTATTTCCTTTCCCACGTTAGGGAAGTTTTCAACTATAATCTCTTCAAATATTTTCTCGGGTCCTTTCTCTCTCTCTTCTCTGGGACCCCGATAGTGCAAATGTTGTTGCCTTTAATGTTGTCACAAAGGTCTCTTAGGCTGTCTTCCTTTCTTTTCATTCTTTTTTGTTTATTCTGTTCCACGGCAGTGAATTCCACCATTCTGTCTTCCAGGTCACTTATCTGTTCTTCTGCCTCAGTTATTCTGCTATTGATTCCTTCTAGTGTAGTTTCATTTCAGTTATTGTATTGTTCTTCTCAGTTTTTTTGTTCTTTAATTCTTCTAAGTCTTTGTTAAACATTTCTTGCATCTTCTTGATCTTTGCCTCCATTCTTTTTCCGAGGTCCTGGATCATCTTCACTATCATTATTCTGAATTCTTTTCCTGGAAGGTTGCCTATCTCCACTTCATTTAGTTGTTTTTCTGGTGTTTTCTCTTGTTCCTTCACCTGGTACATAGCCCTCTGCCCTTTCATCTTGTCTGTCTTTCTGTGAATGTGGTTTTTCTTCTACAGGCTGCAGGATTGTAGTTCTTCTTGCTTCTGCTGTCTGCCCTCTGGTGGATAAGGCTATCTAAGAGGCTTGTGTAAGTTTCCTGATGGGAGGGACTGGTGGTGGGTTGAGCTAGGTGTTGCTCCAGTTGGGCAGAGCTCAGTAAAACTTTAATCTGCTTGACTGCTGATGGGTGGGGCTGGGTTCCCTCCCTGTTGGTTGTTTGACCTGAGGCAACCCAACACTGGAGCCTACCTGGGCTCTTTGGTGGGGCTAATGACAGACCCTGGGAGGGCTCACGCCAAAGAGTACTTCCCAGAACTTCTGCTGCCAGTGTCCTTTTCCCTATGGTGAGCCACAACCACCGCCCGCCTCTGCAGGAGACCCTCCAACACTAGCAGGTAGGTCTGGTTCAGTCTCCTCTGAGGTCACTGCTCTTTCCCCTGAGTCCCGATGCGCACACTACTTTGTGTGTGCCCTCCAGAGTGGAGTCTCTGTTTTCCCCAGTCCTGTCAAAGTCCTGCAATCAAATCCCACTAGGCTTCAAAGTCTGATTCTCTAGGAATTCCTCCTCCTGTTGCTGGACCCCCAGGTTGGGAAGCCTGACGTGGGCCTCAGAACCTTCACTCCAATGGGTGGACTTCTGTGGTATAAGTGTTCTCTAGTTTGTGAGTCACCCACCCAGCAGTTATTGGATTTGATTGTACTGTGATTGCACCCCTCCTACCATCTGATTGCAGCTTCTCCTTTGTCTTTGTATGTGGGGTATCTTCTTTGGTGAGTTCCAGTGTCTCCCTGTCGATGATTGTCCAGCAGCTAGTTGTGAGTCTCGTGTTCTTGCAAGAGGGAGTGAGAGCACGTACTTCTGGTCCGCCATCTTGGTTCCTCATCTGTTTGTTCTTTGTGTAGCTCCTTTTTTTTCTTTTAGTCAAATTCAATAAGCCTGTTACAAACTTCAAATGTGAAGGGATGATCAGGTCAAGAGCTTAACTTGTTGAGCTGGAATGTTTCTGGGCTATCAGTTGTAATTTAAAATCCACTAAAATCAAAACTCTTTATAGTACCAGTTTTGATTTTAAGATATGAGGTGATAGCTGTTTCCTCTCTCTGAAATACTTTGAAACTTTATACTGACAATGGAGCATAACTTGGTTACTGAGAACTGTTATAACACCAGTTATTACCTACAAACTGTGTTTGTGGTGGGAAAATGGAAGTCATTTCAAAAACTGTCAGCATGAAAAATCAGATGAGGAAGTTGCTGAGTGGGTGGGCATGACCCAGCGTGACCCAGTTCTTCAGCCATTTCTATGACGGACTTATTCAGCTCTGGGTGTTCTGAGCCCAGGTGCTGAGAGTCTTCATTTTGAGCAAGCCATCTAGCAGACTCACACCCTTCCTGATACTGATACTTGAGAGCCAGTAGTCAAACTGATGGCCTTTTTTTTCCTTCTGATGCTGTATTGGCCAGGGTCACAGCAGGGCTGGTTAAGTGGAGCCCAAGTATATCATATGTTACCGACTCACAGGTAATTGGGGATTTTGCATTTGTCAAGTGTAGCAGGTAATAGAAGACAACTTTGGCCACCTTAGGTAGAGAAGAAATTATTGGAAGGATATGGTGGTGTGAGATATAACTTAAGGATTAGGGTTGAAGAGGGATGAACCAGGGTATCTCTAGGTATATGTGTATCAGGTGCTAACTAATGGTTGGTTAGAGCTGGGTTGAGTTAGCTTCAAACTTCATTATGTTTATTTTTATTTTATTTTATTTTTTTTTTGCGGTACGCGGGCCTCTCACTGTCGTGGCCTCTCCCGTTGCGGAGCACAGGCTCCGGACGTGCAGGCTCAGCGGCCACGGCTCACGGGCCCAGCCACGCCGTGGCATGTGGGATCTTCCCGGACCGGGGCACAGAACCCGTGTCCCCTGCATCGGCAGGCGGACTCTCAACCACTGCGCCACCAGGGAAGCCCCATTATGTTTATTTTTGATCTTGTGCACATTGCTTACCCAGAGGGGAGAGCACTCTCTGGCTGCACCCAACTGAGAAGAAAATTTCTCAATAAGGTGTTATCAAAAGTAAGGCTGAATGGATGTCTAATCTATCAGATTCTGATGTTATCAATGTAAGACACACATGATGACTCAAAGAAACTAGCTAAGAGTTGAATTGCATTCTAAGATTAATTAAAAACTTTCAAACTTTCTTCATCTTCAGCCTGAATATGCCAATGTTTGCTTTTGGTACATTCCACCAAGCCTCAGAGAGATGGAGGAAGGACCTGAATTCTGGGCAAAACTTCATTTGGTGAGTGATAAGGATATTGCATTTTTTCCTTTGGATGAAATAGATTCAATGCCCATTGTCTCTTGATCCTATAAATGATTTGGTACTTGCAAGAACTTCTTGAGGATCTAGAGAGGTTGTTCTTAGTATATTAGAAGTTAATGACATGCCAAACAGTTGTGAGCATTTGTTAAAATAAATCAACATACTTGACACACACATATCAAAATAATTGTGCTGTTTGCAAGAGAGTGGTGGAATTTATCAGAAGCTCTAATTCACAGTGCACTTCAGAGCACGCGATCTGGTAATGGTTAATGTCGTATGATGAATGGCTTCTTCCTTAAACTCTGCTGGTGCATGTCTGTGACTGCTTGCATCACTTCACTAGCAGATAATGTTAAAGTCTAAATCTGGTACCCTTTGTGAGTGTGAGACTTTCTCTTCTTTCCACCAGTGGGCTTATGTGATAAAAAAGAAAAGAAATGTCAGCAATGAATTTCAGCTTATCATTGAACTAAATGTGACTTGCAAACCCTTCCTTACCCTCAGTGTGGAAATCAATGATAGTTTTAACAGCTTTGATAGGTGATAGCCCTTCTCCTTGCCCTCTAGAAGAAAAGGAAAAACTTGCCAGTCATGCAAGGGACAGACATTTAGCACTCACTATGCCAGGCACTGGAGATATAAACATCAAAGAGACTTGGTCCCTGCCCTGGGAAACTCGTATTCTACGAGACAAATGAGTAAAGAGATCATCACCAGGTAACTAGTAGGTGCCTAGATGAAGAGAAACCCTGTAAAGGCAGAGAGAAAGGATATCTACCCCGAAGTGTGACACTAGATTGGAGTCTTGGACAGTAAGTAGGTGTGAGTCGGTGACAACTGTGAAGGAGTGGGTTCCAGGAAGAATCACAACATCATGGCCCAGAGGCTAAGAGGGGAGGGTGTGTTCGAAGACCACAGTGGGGCAGGGGGCAGTGCTAGGAGTAGGACAAGAGCAGCAGGCACGGGAGTGCACGGAGGCCTCATCTTCCATGACAGGTGCTTGGAATTTGTGCCTAGTTAGGTAGAGGTGGGAAGACCATGGCCTTTAAGTCATAGCCACCTGGATCCTCACCTGCAGCATCTTCTTTATCCTCAGGCCACTTTCTGTTTCTTCATGGCTCATTTAGCCTCCTGCGAGGTAGCACAATACATACTCAATATGTAAATATCTTACCTCTTGTTAAACCTGAGGTCAGGCAGCAGAGATGGGGAGAGATGGACAGAGTTACCTGTGCCTTTGCCTGGAAAAACCCTCCATTGGCCGTTGCAGGCAGTTAGCATGGTCCTTGGATCTGGTTTGTCTTTTTGTCACACAGTGTAAATGAGAAAGTGCTTAAGAATACATTTCAGATGGTAAGTGACTCAAAAAGAAACAATGTGAGAATTTAATGGTGATGTTTCCAGGGACATTTTGCACTTTGATGGAATGCATCAGGCATTGTTTGGTGATGTTGAGAAGGATATGGCTGTCATCCTTCTCACTTTCTGATTGTTAAGAAAAGCAACCGAGAAGGTGATATTTGTGTTTTATGGACTCAATACTGTTGCATGGACACGGATCAGGATAAGTAAATAGTCTCTTTATGTTTGGGGATACTATGGACTCACTCTTCCATTGTTTAAAGAAATATTTACATTATCTAGTCTCAGAAAATTTGAAATTGAGGATGGGTATATAAGCTAAAATCTTAACTGGAGATCAAATATGAATCAGGACAGTCTCTTATCTCCCCAGTAGTCTCCAGCATCGGTTTTCTCATGATTGACATACATGATTCTCCATCCCTTCATTTTGGAAACACTTTTCTGCCATTTAGAACCATGGGGCCCTTGCCCAGTCTAATATCATATTATTTTAATTGTTCTGGTTGCTTCTGATTCCTAAACATGTATGCTGCAGATGAATCATCATTGGTTCTGTCTTAGTTTCCTTTTATCCTCTCTCTTGGCATGGGTGTGTGTGCATGAATTTGGCAAGGAAGGGAGGCATATATATCTGTTGTTGATCTATGTGGTTTCATGCTTACTGTAGTATGAGAATGCAAGTATATGATTTACAACCTGGAGTGTACTTAAAGCACACTTGAAATTTGTTTCAGGATTTATCTTGGATGGAGAATGACAAGCAAATAAATAAACAGAATAAGGCTTCGCCCCTCCAATTCAGACTCATGTCAGGCGGAGCTGTCAGATTTCAGAATCAGTGGTGTGATAAGTCTTCCCTTTGGCAGCAGGAGGGGAGCGGGATTATTTCATAAAGAACCTGGAGTTCGGGTGCGTGTGTGTGTGTGTGTGTGTGTGTGTGTATGTGCGTGCGTGTGTGCATGCATGCACACACATGAGACTGTTTTTGAGAACACAGTCACTCGGCTGTCTACTGATGCTGTGACAGCCCCTCTCTGACACTGTGTTCAACGAGTTCCAGCAACTCCTCTTTTTAAAATGTCCTCTATGAAAGTTCTTCTTTTTGTTTTTTTCAGGCGTTGCAGCATTCTGGGTCTTCATTAGTTCCCTGCCCAGATTATACTCACTTCTTTTCTGGTCTCTGCCTCCTGTTTATTTTCCTTCCTCTCTGCACAGTCATACCTGCAGCCCTGTTTTATCTTGTCATTTTCCTGCTGGAAGCCTCCAAATGCTTTACACTCGCAGCTTTCAACCCGATCGACCAATGACCACTGTTTATAATAAATGCTGTTAAATGTTCTCTTTATTCTCCTAAGATGAAACCAATAGAAAATAGGACCTACCTACACGGAATTTTATAAAAGGCAGTAGAAGGCCTTACATGTCATATGAAGGAAAAATAATCTTTATAATAGAGATATGTATTTCATTACATAAATGTTTGGCATGACAATATTAGAAGACACAAGGAAGTGATAAGATGCTCACACATCCTCTTAGAATCACTGTGAATGTGAGCCATCTTCAAACGCAGACTCTTAGAAGTAGGTGATGTTGCTGATGCCAATAATAGGAGTGGGGTGATGTTAGTGACATAATTTTCAAAAAAGGTGCACAAGTCTTGGTAAAGCATTGAAGAAAACATTTTCCCCTTGATTTACATGGTAGTAGAAAACTTAATGTTTATTTAAAATGGGCACAGAATAGTTTGCATTTGCATGTAAACCAGAGTTAAATTCTGGGCTTGGTTAATTGTAATCAGGCTCCTGGCCTCCTGCATTTCCAACAGGACATTTCAAAGTTGTACAGGACATGGGGCAGCTCTTCCTGGCTCAGGACTGCTCTCCACAGTGCAAGGCAGCTGGCATCCCTGTTCCCCACCTTCTAAACACAAGGAGCAACCCCCAAACATCATGAAAACCAAAAACATCTGCCCAAAGTTTGAAGATATTCCCTGCAGGTGTACTACCATTTCTTTGAGAATGACTGGTCCACAGTATAAAATCTAGTTCATTCTGCTTGGCATCCAAAGGCCTCCATGTCTGTTCCTCAGGCATTAAAAAAGCAAGAAATTTTTAAAAACTTAAATATTCAAGTATAGGGAATTGATTAAAATGTGGTACATAATTTATATGCAAATTTGTAGTGTATAGACAATTAAAATTTTCTTCCAAAATAACATATTCATAATTTATTATTAATTGAAAAAATAAGTTATAGAACAGTCACTATATTGTATATACATAGAGATTTATATACATATACAATATTGTATATGTGGTTAGATAAGGGGCACCAAACTATTTTAGAAATAGAGTTACAGATGATTTTTCCTTTCTTTTGTATTCCTCTGCAATTTCTTAATTTTCTACAATTAATATATATTGCTTTTGTGAAAATAATAATAACAGCAGCAACAATAATAATAATAATAAACCAAAGTATAGAATAATTGACCCAACGAAGCCTTAGAGTTCCTTGAGTGTTTATCCAGGCAAAGGTTACCCAGGTTTTGACCACAATCTCCTAATAGTTAAAAAAAAGATTTTTAATTGAGTATTTACCTCAATATGTGTTTATTGTTTTAAATTATCTACATGTATTCATTTTTAAATATAGTATGTACCTTTTAAAAATGCACAAAATAAGTTTTTTTAAGGATGGATTTAAAATATTTAATTATTCAGAGATGCTCTAATCTTTGCTTCTTAGACCAAAGGGATTGTCTTGTTTGGAGACCATGATTATACCATAGTCAAATCAATTAGTTTGCAAACTGTGTTTCTCTCATGACTTGCTCCCAGACATAGTATATAATTTGTCTTCCCTTCCTACTTCTCTTTTTCTCTCTCCTTATCTCCTTACTGAAACACCTACACTATCTGCACTGATTTCAAGTTCAGAGACGTAGCCCCCGGGGTCCACAGTGAGAGCTTCCGCAGGCTTCCCAGGGCTTCCTGAAAGCTGCCTGCTCTGTGGTCGAGGTAGACTTCACTCGCTAAGGTGGCTGCCCCAAATAAGATTATGTATGTTTGTTTCTTCTCACTTGGTGATCAGGTATGAAGGGCGAGGGAGTCGGGGAGAGAGGGCAAAGATAAAGCTGAAAGCATAAGACCCAGAGAATGTAATTGAAAATTTCATCAGTTTGTTTTATTTCATCATTACTCAATGTTCTGATGCAGAAGATTTCCTCTTTTGTCGACATTTCATAAACAGTCCTGCATTCCACCAACATAATTTACATTCTTAAAAGTAATCACCAAGGTGTCTTTTTGTACTTAAGCATGGTCATTTCAACTTTTTTTCATTCACTGACCTGCAGATTTGTGACTACTGTTAGATGTTTATAATAGGCTTATTTCTCCTCGACAGTAGGCAAACAATAAATCTTTTAGAAACTATTAGATGGGTTTGTTGTATTGCTTATTTGGTGATATAACTTGATATGGTATTCCAGATATCTTTGGAGAGAATCTAGTGTTCTCCCTGGCAGGTTTCTGATGAACAGCACTTGAAGATGAGACAGCGTAGACTGGGTAGTGTTGTGTGCTTTCAAGGATGCCCACTTT